GTCATCACTGATCGCTTTCCTTCGTTCACGACCTCAAAGCCAGGACCTTCCCAGCTGAGGCCTCAGAAAAGGACATTGCGGAGCAGACACATACTCTCCCCACTCTGCCTTGTCTGAATTCCAGCTCTACAGAATGCCTCAGCATGATCAATGACAAATGGTCATTGTTTCATGACACCAAGTTGCAGAGCGGCAGATGACCGGAACGCAGCCCATGCATTTATTCTTCCTCAAGTTCATCCACATCAGTATTTTGTTTTCCATATTCCATTTCATTTTGTTTTTTGTTGTTTTTTTTTCCAGATTTTATTGGGGAATTGGGGAAAGGGAACAACCAAGTTGTTGTCCTTCAGTCTTAGTTGCGGAGGACGCAGCTAGCTCAGCTCAAAGTCCAGTCGCCATCCGGCCACCCGTCAGGAGATCACGGCCGATCAGCTCAAGGTGCCTTGTTCAATCTTAGTTGCAGTTGGGTGTAGCCCACCATCCCATGCGGGAGTCAGCTGGCAACCTTGTTGTTAGGAGCACGTGCTCTTATCAGCTGAGCCATTCTGCCCCATGATGGCAGCTCAGCGGCAACTCAGCTCAGGCCCAGCTCACTGTCCCATGTGGGACTCGAACCAGCGACTCTAATGCTCAGAGCTCACCCACAACCAACTGGGCCACTCAGCCGGCCCCCATTTAATTCTTTCTGCATTGTCTGTTCCATCCTTCATAATTTTGTATTCTGTATTTCTTTCTACATTTCATTCCATTCATTTCTATTCCCTTCCAGTACTTTTAAATCTATAGTGCAAATTTCATAGCCCATTGATTTCATGACCTTGCATATTCTGTTCCTATGATTTCTTCCAATTTAGATTTCCTCCTATTTTCTTTAATGTTTTCCTTTACTTATATTCCATTCCATTCCATTTCTCATAGAACAAACATCGCATATAGATTTTTTTATTCCACATGGCGTTAGATATTTATTTGCATTGTCCTTTCCATTCCGTCTTCCATCATAGTCCATTCGATTTCCATCCCACTC